TGTGTTAAGGACATACCTAAATGATTGGTACCGAACTGCATCTCGAAGCCGTCGTCCGTTTTCCAATGCGGACACATCATGACACCGGCATTATTGATAAGTATATCAATTTGGGACACCTTTTCGGACAGCTCTTTGGCAAACTGGCGGACAGAGGCCAGCGATGACAGATCCAGTTTCATGACCACAACATTATCATCGTCCGACTGTTTGGCCTCTTTGGCCACGTCTTCGGCCGCTATGTGAGCTTTGGCCATATCTCGACACGCCATAACTACCTGTGCTCGAGTGGGGGGGGGGTGGTGTGGAGTGGAGGGGGGAAGATATAACCATTAATTAATAATTAGTACTATAATGGGGTGGGGGAGGGGTATAGTGGTTGGACAGGTTTATAGTATAGTTATACCTTAGCTCCGAGTTTGGCCATTAGTGTGGCATTGATTTTGCCGATACCCGTATTGGCACCGGTAATGACCACTACTTTTCCTTTCAATGATTTCGGCAATCGGGTGAACCGTCGGGGACCCCAACGGGTCCAACGCATTGAATTACGTATGGATTCGCATAGAAATTCAAACAAAAAACGAAACTCAATGTATAGTTTCATTATTTTTGTTTTTAAAATTATTAATTATTATAATTGTTTAAATTATTAACTATTTAAAAAATGATGATGATGATTTTTTGTTTGTATAAAACAAAAAAAAATAAAACATCAAGTTAATAATTTGTTGAAATATTTCGATGGGAATAGTTTTTACTTTTTTTTAACTTTTAACAAATTATTTATTTATCTTCTAACTAAAATCATTTACTAAAATTAAAAACATACACACATTATAACATAAATTAAAAAAAAAACAATTTATAAATTTTATATTTTTAAATATTATTTGATTATAATATTTTTTCATGTAAATTAATTTTTTATTAATTATATTATTATTATTATTAATTGTTGAATTAGTTTAGTTCAATGATATATATATACACCATAATGTTAAATATACAAAATAAAAGTTTATAAATATATATATATAATTTATAAACATTAATTAATATTAAATAACTTAATATTTTGATATATAAACAAAAAAAATAATTAGATATAGACATAGACACACACAAAAAAACACTTAATAAAATTTTTTATGTATAATAAATATATTACATAAATAACAAAAACATTAATATAGAGAAATAAAAAATAAATCAATAATTATGCTTAAAATTTAGATATTCTTTATTATTATTATAAATATTGAAATTATATTTAATATTATTATTATTATTAGCTTAGTATAAATAAAACTGTATTAATAATAATAATATTAAATGACATTACTATTAATATTATTATTATTAAGTATATTATTGATATTACTATTAATATTATTATTATTAAGTATATTATTGATATTACTATTAATATTATTATTATTAAGTATATTAGTGATATTATTATTATTATTATAAATATTCTCCTTAAAAAATGGTTTTTATGATATTATGAACGATATTTAATAATAATATAAATATATATATAWAAAAAATCAATTTTTTCTCATATAATAATACAATACAATAGTTTTTTTGCACACAATTTCAAACACACACATAGTTTTGTTTTATTTGTTTTTTCTATGTGTGTGTGTTTTCAATGCAAACTTTACAATAGTATATAAAAACTAACACTTATATGGAAAATAATAATATAATTTATTAAATATTTACAAATAWATATATATATTTTTTTTGTTTCATGCTTTTTAAATAAATATTATATTTTTTAGTCAATTAATATTTATTTTTATAAACATTTTCAACAAAAAAATTTGTAAATATTTGCATTTCAAATGCTTATTAATACTACATAATAATAATAATAATAACAAACTAAATAATAATATTTTTAATTAAGATATTTTCTAAATTTTACTAATATTTTATTTATTTTTTTAAAAAAAACATAAAATATTATTTAAATTAAATACTTGAAATCATACACAAAATTATATGAATTGAATAAATTTGAACAGGCTAAAAAGTTGTTTTGTATAGTATTAATGTTTTTAAGTTTATATTATGTTTTTATAAAAAAAATAAAAATAATATATAACCTTTAATAATAAACACATTTTTTMTATATACATGTATATCAAAATGGCAATTAACTAATCAAATATTATTTATATATATATATATATATCATATTTCAATGATATTAATTTTATATATATATATATATAGTGTAAGATGATTGATAAGTTTAAAATAGTAATAATAATAATAATATTATTATATATTAATAATAATACTATTATTATATATTAATAATACTACTATTATTATATATTAATAATACTACTATTATTATATATTAATAATAATCATAATAATAATTACCTTTCAAATAAAAAAAGCCTTCAATTGAACTCACAATTAATATATAAATTTATATACTGTATATGTATGTATAATATTGATTAAAATATTTAAGTATCACTAAATAAAAAATTAAATTATTATCATTATTATAATTATTATTTAAAAATTAATATTCAATTTTTTTAAATAGCTTACAATACAGTATATATTATATTATTAAATTATAATACTAATTATAATTTGATTGATCACATAAATAATTGATTGACATCAGGGGGTGAAACACACATACAGTCGAAAAAAAAATTATATATATTTATAAAATATATTTTTAAATAAATAATTTATTTTAATTTTTGTTTGATATTATTATTATGATTAATAAAATTTCTTAGACATATAATAATTGTTAGCAAAACTATTGCCTAATGTTTTGTATGCGTTTGACTTTTACTTTTACACGCAAATTGACTTTTTTTAAATAAAAAAAATAAGATATATATCTATATATTATGGTATCCAAGATATATAACAACTTGTAATAACAATAGAGAAAATTATATATATATTTTATTTATTTATTTTTTTTACTAATATTATAATAATGATATTATAATTTTTTTTTGTTAAGTACTGTCTAACAAAATTATATGAAACCCATAATAGATATTATTATTATTATTATTTATAAAGAAAATATGTCTAAATATTTTTCAATTCAATAGTAAAACTTTTTTTTTGTTGTTTTTGAAAAAACACAGGAAACCCAATAACAATAATAATATTATTGTTATTATTATCGTATAATTTGGGTAAATGTTGTTTTTTAAAAGTTTTTATTTTGTTTTTTTACAGATATTTAATTAAGTATTTATTTTTTATTTTGTTAGACATTTGTTGTTTTCTTATAATAATAATAATAATAATAATAATAATAATAATAATAATAACAATAGCATTGCTAACAACAATAATGACTTTGAAAAGCAGTCATGCATTTTATTTTCATTTAAATATTACTAATATTATTATTATTCAAAATTAAATATATTATTAGTATATATGATATTTCAATTTAATTAAAATATTTAATATGAAATTTTTCTAATTATAATATTATTGAAATATTTTTTATATATATTTTTTTTGTAATTAATATTTATATAATAATGAATAAATTTTTTCATATGCAAATATAAAACAATATTATATTTAAAATTAATTTATTTTCCAATAAATAAATAAACAAACAAAAAATTAATATAAATTATAGTAATAATTAAAAAATTAATTTCTATATATAATAGAAAACATGCATTACATGTGTAAATAAATGTAAATATAAATTACTAATAATTAATACCGAAAAAAAAAGTTTTTTTTTGTGAACTATTTATGATAAACTAATTTTTTTAGTACAAAAAAATTGTTTGTCAAAAAAATTTAGGAAATGACATAATTATAGGTGAAATTATTTTTTTTATGTGTTGTTGTAAAATGTGTTAAAAAATATATATATACAATTACCGGTAATTTATTACAATTTAATAATAATAATAATAATAATTGATCTTAACGTAAATCAATGTATGTCAAGTGTAATAAGTCGTCTATAATATAGACTATAATATATTATACTATTAAAAAAAAATTAGTAAATTATAAAAATTATAAATAAAATAGATATAGATTTTATTTCCCATTTTTTTTTTGACTTTTACTTTTGCAAATATTTTTTGTTTAGTTTAACGATACCAACAAAAAAATGTTTTTTGTTTTTTTTTAACTTAATATATATAATAATATGATAATAATTATTATGTCAAAATCTATATTTAGTATACTATTTATTAATACAGTATACATACTATAAAAATATATGATTTTTTAGTTGTTTGGTTATTATCTTAGTTAACACCAAAAAAAAAAGTTTAATAGGTTTTCAACTTTTTTATTATTATTATTATTATTATTATCGGTAATTGAATACTTGAAGTCAAATACCAATTTTTTTAAAAAATAAAAAACTTTTTTTTTGGAAAAAATAATATAGTTTTAATTTTATTTATTTATTTTTTTAAATATATGTAATTTAAATGATTAAAAAAATAATAATCTATTTAATACTAAATTTAAATTACATTTGTTTTTTTTTCATTGAAAAAGCAAACAATTTATTGAAATTTATTTGAAACCACAATATTTTTATAGAAAATAATAAACTAATCAATAGAAAAACAAATAAATAGTTTTATTTTTAATATTTTCAAAAAAAAACTTGAAAAGTTTTGTTTACTGAAATCTATAATGGCTTTTTGAGTCTGTGTGTGTGTGTGTGTGTGTGTGTCTGTGTGGGTGTCTGTGTGGGTGTGTCTGTGTGTGTGTCTGTGTGTGTGTCTGTGTGTGTGTCTGTGTGTGTGTGTGTGTGTGTCTGTGTGTGTGTCTGTGTGTGTGTCTGTGTGTGTGTCTGTGTGTGTGTCTGTGTGTGTGTCTGTGTGTGTGTCTGTGTGTGTGTCTGTGTGTGTGTCTGTGTGTGTGTCTGTGTGTGTGTCTGTGTGTGTGTCTGTGTGTGTGTCTGTGTGTGTGTCTGTGTGTGTGTCTGTGTGTGTGTCTGTGTGTGTGTCTGTGTGTGTGTCTGTGTGTGTGTCTGTGTGTGTGTCTGTGTGTGTGTCTGTGTGTGTGTGTGTGTGTGTGTCTGTGTGTGTGTCTGTGTGTGTGTCTGTGTGTGTGTCTGTGTGTGTGTCTGTGTGTGTGTCTGTGTGTGTGTCTGTGTGTGTGTCTGTGTGTGTGTCTGTGTGTGTGTCTGTGTGTGTGTCTGTGTGTGTGTCTGTGTGTGTGTCTGTGTGTGTGTCTGTGTGTGTGTCTGTGTGTGTGTCTGTGTGTGTGTCTGTGTGTGTGTCTGTGTGTGTGTCTGTGTGTGTGTCTGTGTGTGTGTCTGTGTGTGTGTCTGTGTGTGTGTCTGTGTGTGTGTCTGTGTGTGTGTCTGTGTGTGTGTCTGTGTGTGTGTCTGTGTGTGTGTCTGTGTGTGTGTCTGTGTGTGTGTCTGTGTGTGTGTCTGTGTGTGTGTCTGTGTGTGTGTCTGTGTGTGTGTCTGTGTGTGTGTCTGTGTGTGTGTCTGTGTGTGTGTCTGTGTGTGTGTCTGTGTGTGTGTCTGTGTGTGTGTCTGTGTGTGTGTCTGTGTGTGTGTCTGTGTGTGTGTCTGTGTGTGTGTCTGTGTGTGTGTCTGTGTGTGTGTCTGTGTGTGTGTCTGTGTGTGTGTCTGTGTGTGTGTCTGTGTAGCAATTTTTTTGCGAATTTTGAAATTCTGACTTCAGATTCGGTTAGAGGACTAGTAATAATGTATTGAAAAATTGCATTAAAATTTTGATATCTCTTCGGGAACATAGACAAAATGGCGGCCAAAGTAGAGAAAATTTTAAGATTTTTTTCTTTTTAAGAAGTATAGATTTGAATAAAGCATCAAAAACAATCATAAAAAATATGCATTAAAATTTTGATATCTTTTCGGGAACATAGAGAAAATGGCGGTCAAAGTAAAAAAAATTTAGTTAAAAATTTTAACCTTTAGAATTGCATAGATCATCATAAATAAGATATTATAGATCAAAATTATTAATTTTTATTAATTAAAAAGTATGATTATAGTTGTTTATTTTGATATACTGCGTCACTTAATAACCTGCATGACTATAGTTGAGTATATTTTGTTATACCGAGTCATTTGATGCCGTACATGACTAAAGTTAAGTTTATTTTGTCATACTGAATCATTTGATATCATATATGTAGGGTTAGATCAGATTCCCTCCCTCGTCTTATTTTCCATAAGTTCCTTATATTCCCTGTTCCCTGGGAATTCCCTGGGAAGACATTTCCTTGTGGTACCACCTATCATACACTAACTCACATTACATAATGTTTAATTAAAAACACGTTTGTATAGTAAATGTCTACAAAATGTCTACAAAATGTATTTAATGTTTTTACTAAATGTTTAATAATATTTTAATCATATTTTGATTGAGTTATTACTAACATAATGGTCCCAATGAAACACATAGATTAGGTACTTTTTAATGTATGACAAATTATATTTTCCCTTTCTAACGATCAAGGGAGGGAATATAATATATTTTCCATATTTTCCGCGAAAATTGGAGGGAATTTATTTGGGAACTTCCCTCCCTCGGAATCTCAATCTAACCCTACATATATGACAATATTTAATTTATGTAAAATTTTAGATTTGACGTTTTTAAATTTTTATATGTTACTCTATAGCCGCTATAATTATACAAACTAATGGTTTTCAATGCTATTCAAGTTTTTTTTCTGAAAATGCTTTATAGCATTCTCAACTGGTTTTTTTTTTTAAATATATGTAATTTAAATGATTTTTTTTTATTAAACCAAACCGTTATCTAATGTAAAGTTCGCGCCTCTATAATAGCATTTGTAGCCCACATTGTACTGTATAATATACAGTGTATATAGTATATACTATAGTATATACAGTATATACTATATACTGTATAAAGAGTAGAGATCGACGCCATTAATATACAGTATATTTTTAAAAATATTAATACATTTTGTTTGTTTGAAATGAATCACATGTTTATTATTATTATTATATTTATTAGCCATCGATAGCAACGACAACAACAATAACAATAAAAGCCAACAAAAAAATTTTTGGCCACTTTATCGGCGGACAGACACACACACACACACACCACACCCGATAGCTACTACCCTATAATTTTTAGTTGTGGACACATCACACACCCGCGACAAAAAATGGCCAAACGAATAGCCGAAAAACAGCTAACAATGGATAACTATGACCAGAAAAGACGACGACTACGCGATACCCGACGGCGGCGGCGGCGGACCGCAAGTGGCCGCCCAAAGACACTCAGTAACCGTTGTATGGCCAGAGCTCGCCGACAGGTGGATAATATGGACAGTACAAACAGCCGTGTCGGCCGCCGACGATAACGACACGCCTTCGCCGGCTTTCAAAGCGTTTGGCGGTTTCAACGGTATAGCCGTTGTTTGATTGGTTGGCCAACTCTTTTAGTTAAATGTTTTTTTTCTCTCAATCTGAACGCAGGTCTCGGCAGCGGCACAACAGCGACGGCAAAGTTTGACGCGTTTAAGTCGTTTGCGGCTACCGTTACAACCAGTGATAAGAGCCAGCCGTCACCGCCGCCGGTGTTGATGACCACCGCTACTATTCCAACCACAACCTGTCTGGCTATTAGTACACCATTACAACAGTCGTCGTCGACGGCGTCATCATCATTATCGGTCAGTTATACGAACGGCCGATCAAAACTAAACAATATCAACAATGCCTAACAAAAAACGGTTGTTTGAATGATTTGAAGGACAACAACGACGGCAATGAAGATAATAATAATAATAATGACGACGAAGAAGACGATGTCCATTACCAGTACCAGTAATCAATCCATTTGTTTCGCGACAACGACGACCAACCAAAGTTCAGTTAGAGCCCAGCGATGACAACAACAACAACATTCACATTCAAACCGAATCTATTACTGGGAACGACCAATACGTTTGGTTCGTTGTTGTCGTCGTCGATCGGTAGCAGCAGTGGTGGTGGTGCTCAGCAACCGTCAACCAGCGATGGCAACGATGACGATACCGATGAACCGCCTAAAGTGGAATCAGTAGAGCACAGGGAATCCGACGCTGTTTATACGAAAAAGTATTGTTTTAGTTTAGAGATGATAGTGTCTGTGAACTGTAGTTTTTATGATAATATTAATGATTAATGTTATATATATATATTCAGATGTAAACTGTACTTCAAAAATGGACAGCAACTGGACAGAGAAGGGTGTGGGCTATCTGTATATCAAACTGGAGATCCCGACGCCGATAAGGCACAGCTGCTGATGCGTGCCGATAACACATTCGGCACGTTTAAGCCGGTCTCAACGTTTACCAGTGACAGCAGTATCGGTAGTTTATTTGGTGCGTCTAATAAAATCATCGGTGCAACCGATAATAGTAGTCAGAAGTCATCATCAAACGAGTTGTCCACTGGTGTCGGCACACAGACATCGACTATATCTTCAAGTATGTCTTAACTATATATATATATATATACTGTATATAGCGGTCATTCATCGGTACTTTTATGTAAAATTTATTTTTAATAAAATTTATTATTGTATTCATTCAGACACCAACTCATCGCAGGCCAGTAGTAGTCTGTTTACAAGCAGTCAACCAACCAAACAGGACACCGATAAGCAAACTGTTGTACCGTCAACTCTGAAAGAGGACACCGAGACAAACAAATTGTTATACCGAAGCTGACGTCGCCGCCGATTTGATTTTTATTGATATATATATATATATATAAAAATATAGATTTTACATGAAATGAAACAACAATTTTTATCGTATAATATAAATATCAAATTTTTTCATTTGATTTTTATTGAAACATAAAATTTTTGTAAAATATTATTATTTGATATTATATTTATTCGGCGTACTATACGGTGAACGGCCACAAGTGACTGATGCATAGTTGAGTTGTCTGGATGTTGATGATGTTGTTGGCGGAGGCGTACGGGCAGTTCCAGTACCAGCACTGGCATCACTACCACCACCATCAGTAGTATTGCCATTACCATTGTGCTCGGGCGTCGATGGCGGTGAAAGGCCGGTCGGCCGATAGCCAATGTACGCGGATTTACGATAGCGACAACTGCGGCACCGGTTAGGACCCAACTGATAGTTAACGGAACAGTTGTGACGGCCGGTCCGACATTTGATTACCGATGTGGCAGTGATTCGACGCATAAATTTCTTGCAACTGTCGCATATGCCGTAACCATTTTCAAGACTCACCCGATCAGTGCTGGAACAGACAGCACAGTAAACCGGGCGTATGTCCAAAACCGGTCGGTTTAGTCGTCGACCATCAGTTTGTATGAGTTGTTGGCCAGTGATTTCGGACGACGACATAAACGGCGGCAACAGTTGCGGCCTCCTATGGATGATAGGAGCGGCGGCGGTGGCGGACGAGACTATAGGTCGACTTTTTGGACGGCCTCGGCTTCTCTTCTGTTTTGTCGCCGAATAACGTTTGATCGGCTCTTTCAGTGGACTTAAGATAATAAACGGTTGTGTATTCAGTTTGAGATCATTGTCGATATCCGGCGACAGTGAGTCCATATGATCGTCCAGATTGATGACAACCCTATTGGCAGTTACTTTGGCCTCCGATGTTGATCCGACGTTCCGATCCTCCACTTCAACGACATCATCGCTAGCGGTTCCGTTGTTGTTGTTGTTGTTGTTATCTTCATCGATGTCGTCGTCGTCGTCGTCGTCGCCGAGTTTGGCCAACGCCTGTCTGAGCAACAGTTTCTGGCCAATGGATATCTCGGCGGGCAATATATGCCAATCCTTATTCATGTCGAGCGCCCGCAATATGTGCACCGAATCGATACCGTTACTGACCAGACAGTCGATGGTGTTGGCTGTGATGCCGGCGAAACGGGACAGATAGCGATGACAATAAGTTTGTTGTTGCGGTTGCGGTTGCAGTGAACTATTGGTGGCCGCTGTTGCTGCCGATCGGTTGGTGGTGGTGGTGGTGGTGGTGCGCGGCGACGACGACGACGAGGAGGAGGAGGAGGAGGAGGACATTTGGGCGGACAGACACCGACGATATGGTCGCACATAAAATTAAAAAACAATATAAAAATACCAAAACTCTCGATGTTTTTTGGTATTTAAAATGAAATAAAAAAAAATTTATTTATTTTTTTATTATTTGTATTTGTATTTATAAAGTTTTATATATAAACATTTTACATGTACTGTGTGTGTGTACAGTGTATATAATATACTGTATATAAACAACATGTGTTTGACACGTGACTTGTTTTTAATAACAAATAATAAGTTTTTATTTAAATAATAAAAAAAAAATACACTAAAATTAGTTTTAAAATATACAGTACTTTATAATAGTGTTGAACAGTTAAAAGGCAGGAAAAACCATTTATATATATACAGTATATATATATATATATATTAATATATAAAATCATATATTTATTATTATTATTAGTAGTAGTAGTAGTAGAAATACTAGTAGTAGTAGTAATAGTAGTAGTAGTAGTAATAGTAATACTAGTAGTAGTAGTAGTAATAGTAATACTAGTAGTAGTAGTAGTAATAGTAATACTAGTAGTAGTAGTAGTAATACTAGTAGTAGTAGTAATAGTAATACTAGTAGTAGTAGTAATAGTAATACTAGTAGTAGTAGTAGTAATAGTAATACTAGTAGTAGTAGTAATAGTAATACTAGTAGTAGTAGTAATAGTAATACTAGTAGTAGTAGTAATAGTAATACTAGTAGTAGTAGTAATAGTAATACTAGTAGTAGTAGTAATAGTAATACTAGTAGTAGTAGTAATAGTAATACTAGTAGTAGTAGTAATAGTAATACTAGTAGTAGTAGTAATAGTAATACTAGTAGTAGTAGTAGTATAAGTAGTATTTTTGACTCTATTAACTATTTATAATCATCGGTAAACACCATAACCCGATTGGCCAAAACTGCCGGACTTATCGGCGACTTTATACGGTACTGGTCGTCCAGTTTGACCCATATCTCGCTTAGTGCCCACAATTTTTCGGCGGCCGTATCATCGGTAGCGTTGGGCATCAATGGATGAACTTTTTTCAGATTACTAATCAAGATATAGATGTATATATATATATATACATAAAGTTGGTGTCCATTTTTAAAGTTCGGGCAGGTTGGGTTCGGGTAGGTTAGGATGGGTTCGGGTAGGTTCGGGCAGGTTAGGTTGGGTTCGGGTGATACAAATATTTCCAAACAATTGACTTACGTATAGTAAAATCCCGATTCATTTTTCAGATTGTCATCCATGGCTACGTATAGCAAGGTTTGGACACCGTTTTCGGGTTGAGCAAAACGAAACAGAAAATCAATTAACGGATTTTTGCCGGCCACCAGTCCCGGAAAGCGGACAATTTCGGGACTGACAGCATAGACGGTTACGTTGGTATCGATTAGTCGTTTGCTTAGCTCACGGGTAAACAATATCAGTGCCAATTCCGATTGGGTATAGGTTCTCAATTGGACACCCAGACTGACCCGATCCATATTGATATCGTTGAAGTCAATGGAGCCGACATACTGGCCAATAGAGGCTACGTTGACTACGCGACCGTTTTCCGATTGTTTCAGATTTTTCATCAGCATATGGGTTAGGAGGTAGTGTCCTATTGGTAATTGTTATTATCAATCAACAACAAAAAAAACAATAATAATATTATCTATTACTAAACTGTGCATGGTAAAAAATTATTTAATTAATTAATTTAATTAAAAAAAAATAAATAAATTTTAATCAAAATTAAACCCAAATAGTTGACGGCAAACGTCCGTTCGAAGCCATCTCGGGTTATACGGCGAACCGATTCGTAGGTATGGCCGTTGTTGACCAGCAAATCGATTCGGGGCTCCAGTTTGGCCACCTCTTTGGCGAACTCGCGTACCGATTCCTGCGACGATAGGTCCAGTCTCAGGGCCCGGATGTCGGTAAGGCCAGTGGTAGTGGCGGTGGTGGTGGTTGTAGTGGTGGCCGTCGGTGTCGTTATCTTAGTCTCTGATGACTCGCCGCCTGAGACTTGAATACGATTAGTCGGTTCATCGTCTTTGATACCAATGATTACCTAATTAGTAGATCAGATAACTAGTAGTAGTGGACACCTATCTATTAGGGGTAGGCCTATCCCTACAGAACAACTAAAAAAAACTATAATAAATAACTCACTTTCCAACCGTTTTGTGCCAACTGAGTGGCCAGCTCTGTACCGATATCTTGGTCACCGCTGGCTATAACGGCAACCTTTCCGTGCAATCTGGCCGAACCGGTAATGGCGTACTGACGGGATTGCGAGTATTTAGGGTCGGCTCGCATCAGTATATTGAACAGTTCGCTAATACCGGCAAACAGGCCGTTCAGTTTCGACGACTTATAATAATTGGTGATAATTGAGGCTATTTTAGATAAATGATTCAAAAATGGATAGTTGACCGGTGTGTTGGTGGCACCAACGGTGCCCGTATTATTGGCAGCCGTATTGTTAGTATAGGTAGTGGTAGTGGTGGTGATTGGTGTAGTAGTTGTCGGTGGATTAACATCCCGGCTCCCACCCAGCACTTGATTTAAAATATAATTCAATATTAATTGCCAAACCATTATTATTAATGGCAATTAGAAAATTAAAAATAATTAAATAGATAAAATATACAAAAAAAAAATTTTGTGTTTAAAAAATTTATTATTATTTTATTTTTTATAAAAATGTAATCAAATTTTTTTAACTTTCACTAATATTTAAACCATTTTTATGTGTGTGTATGTGTTTATCATTACAATTATAACACAATAATTTAATTTCCTTGAATAGTTTATTAATCCGGATATATTGATATTTTCAATATAATGGTTTTTAAATTTATTGTTAGTTATTAGTAATTAAACCTAAAAATTTACCTGTATACTTTTTTAATAATTTAAAATAATGAAGTTTTTAATAGTGACCATATATTTATTTTTGAATGCTATTTATTGTATTTATAATATTAAAAAAATATTTTTTAGAAAATAAATATAATAATTAATATTTTGCTAACTTAATTAATCCAATTAATATTTTATAATAATTATTGAGGAATATTATAATAAAACAATTACATTGATAATGATACTAATAATTACAAAATTTTATATATTTCCTATTAATTTTATTTATAAAAACAAAATTTCCTTATAGTATTTTATATATATATATATATATATATATATATAAACAGTTTATTTAGTAAAATTTATTTAATAAAATTTAMTAAATTATTTTATAATTAAATAAAAATATTTAATAAAAWAATTGGCAATATATATATATATATAAATTTTTCTTTATTTAGTATAATGTTAAAAAATTTTAATTTCAAATTAATGTACAATTAGAAAAAATAAATATAGTTTCATTGTTTTTTTTAGATATAAATTTTTATAAAAAAACACAATTAATCWATTTTATAAATTATAAATTATTRTAAGGTTTTATCARATCATCGCTTAATTGCCATAATTTTTCCGATAGTTTACTTGTTTTAGTCGATACATAGTCAACACGATTACAATTACTATTTAAATAAAAATATTGAAACAAATAAATAAATAATTAAATTATAATATTTAATTAGTAGATAAATTATATATATATATAAATCAAATTATTATTTAATTATAATTACCTATAATAAGCACCCGACTCGCTGGCCAACCGTTCATTGAGTGCCACATATAATATAGTTTGGGCAGCCATTACGTGGATCMGATATCTTTGTAAACCATSKATTAAATCTATGGCGCCAGTCATCCTCGGGAAACGGTTTGAATATACGCCAGATATTTGTGTTTACCGTATAAACAGTTACCGTAGTATCAGTTARTCTGTAGGCCAGCTCACGGGTAAACAATACCTGTGCCTGTTTACTATTGGCGTACTCGGTAAACATATTGTASCGACCATTATTATTATTATTATTGCCCGGTTGKCCAGTGATGGCCAGTTGGYYKAAATCTAGTCGTCCGATATGGTGCAACATATCCGATACGTTAATTATGCTGGCGTTTGSCGWTTGTTTCAATACGGGTAGCAATTGTTTGGTCAATAAATAGTGTCCTATTTTTTTCATATATAACGRAATAAATATTAGTTTTTTTCAATTAAAAAACATTAAATTTTTTTTATAGTCAATAATTATTAGTCTATAGTTTAATATCAATGTATAGTAATAACAYAATAATTAATTTGTTTTTCAAAAAAATATMATAAATAAYAAAAWTTTTTTGTGAATGAATACCCAAATAGTTTTCGGCAAATGTTTTCTCAAAACCTTCGTCAGTGATCACTCGTTTGCCGACCAGTCGATGGCCGGCATTGATCAGCAAATCGATGCGATCGGTTCGGCCTAACACTTGGTCGGCAAACGCCCGGACCGACCGCAGYGACCACAGGTGCAGCTCTACGGCTAGCATGTCGTACGTRTTGTTTTCAGGATGACTACCACTACTACTGGCCTTCAAATTGTCGATAATTTGTTGGCCAATCGTCAAATCATTTACACCCATAATCACCTAAATTTATAAAAAATAAAAAAATAAATTACCATGTTAATTTTTTTGAAAAACAAAAATATATATATTTATAAAAAWAATTTATAAATACATTTAGTGTATACATATATTWTAATAATAWTAWTATTATTATTATTATTATTAGWTATRCAATACCTTAACACCCGATTTGGCCAATTCAATGGCCGTCTCGCGGGCCACATCCTGGTCGGCACCGGTTATCACGGCTACRCGTAGATCGCGGCGCCGTTGGACCAGTCGATCGGTAAACTTGTTGGGCGACCACCATAACAGGTCACTATAGAAAACCGACTGAAACTGATCGATAAGAGCCAAATAGTTATCGATGGTGTCATCACCTGCGGTGCCGTCATTGACATCATTGGTCATCATCATCGGTGGTGATGGTGTCCACTGAGTTACCGATGCCGATGACGTAGTATTGTTTTGATTGGTTGACGCCGATAGCAAACGTTTTGTTAGTTTTAACGATAGCGACAATTGCAATAAAAATACTTTCAATATTAATCTTAAATTGATAAATATTATATCAAATAAGCTAGGTAACATTTTAAAATTATTTTTTTATTATAAAATTATACACTAAATACTGTATATATAATATGCTAATTAATAAAATACAAAAACTAATTGTATGTTTATAATTAGTAATTATTGTGCGTAACATTTAATTATTATATTATATTATATTTATTTAATTAATTAATTAATTATTTTTTTACAAAATTTTTTGATTAAAGTTACTGAATATTATTATWKTATTTGAATTATTTTTTGTTTGTTTAACAAATAAAATATAATATTATACCGGTATTCCTGTATATATATAGATGTATATAAATTGAATATCATATTTCCTGTATTTAATTGTATTAAACAAAATTTTTATTATCAATTGAATTTTTTTACATGTATTATTGACCTGTATTAGATTTAATAATAATAATAATAATAATTTTTTAATTAATAATGTTTTGACTTAAGTAAAACTAATGTTGCAATTTTATAAATATTATTTTTTTTATTATAAGTATAATTTGTTTTTGAAATAAAATTTAGTTGAAATCAATTATCTATGATAATAGATATTAAAATATTAAAAAAAAAGTTTATTTTATTAATTTTTTCACACAGTTTTTCGTTTACAATAAGTATTTTTTAATATTATAAAATAATTCAATAATCTTAATGATAAATAAAAACAATTTAAAAAAAAGTTTTTAATATAATATTTGTATTATTTTTAAAATATACAGWAGTTATTATTATTATTATTATTATATTTTATTTTTTATAACCCCAGGGCACTACTGGACTAAACACTGGCCAACTGATAAACTCGGGGGACGACATGTATGACTTGATTGCCGGCAGGTTCTCAAATCGGGTCAAGTATTGGATCAAAACGGGAAATTTGGCCACCGTTTCGGGACTGAACAATCGCAACCAATCCATGAACTCGTAGGTAACAAAGTCAACGTACGTCAACTGTTTGCCGGCCAACCACTGGTTTGTAYCCAAAAACTTCGACAATTCGTCCAACTGTTTCGGTAGTTGATCGGCGATATAGGTCTGACGGGCGGCCTCTAGTCCGGACGGGTTGAACAACATTGCCATAAATGTGGCCAAATAGTCGACTAACTGGTATTCGGCCATATCCTGTCGGGCCAGTTCACACTCTGTTTGGCCAATCAGTCCATGCCGACGGGCCAAATATCGGAGTATAGCCTTACTTTGAGTCAGCTTAATATGTTGTCCATCCAGATAATAGGGTAGATTGGGAAAGTCCAGTCCCAACGTTAGCTTAACTTTAAGCCAGTGCTGCTTAATTGATGCCATATCTTCTACACCATTTCCCGGTCCGAACTCGTAATCAATTTCGGTAAACTCGGTTCCCGTATACTTCAGCAATAGTCGTATCGGTTGAGCCAAACCACGGATTTTATAGTAACCGAGAATCGGTTTCAATGAAGACATTGTGTGTTGTCGTTGATATCAATGATAACTCAAAAAATAAAATAAAAATATTAATTTAAAAATTATTTATAAAACTTTTTGATGACTTTTTTTTTGGTAATGACTTGTTGTAAATCATAAATTGTATGAAATATTTATACTATAATAATGTTTAGTTTAAATGAGAGTAACAGTATGTCTACTAAATAATTATTATTATCATTATTATATTACTTAAAAGATACAGTCATTGTGTCATCATAACTACCTAATCTAATAACTACCAGTGCGCTATTGCTTTTTTGAACTAACCAATGTCATTTAAGTGCATTTTTATATTTTATTTATTATTTATACTATTAAAATTCAAATATCAATATTTTTTTTATATCTACTATATTAACTAAATATTAAATAATTTCTAATATTATTATATTTATCAAAAATACATTATTTTATTAAAAATTATTTTTAAAAAAAATATTTACTAGTAATTATAAGTTTATTAAAATTTTTGGTATATGTAGTACTTATAATATAATTAAGTCTATCATCACTTAGTTAGTATAAAACATTGCCAATAAAGTTAATTGACATTTAATTTCAACTAATTTATAACGTTATATTAACTAATAATAATAATAATAATTAATAATACAGTATAAACTAATTTCAAATATTAATTACAAATAATAGACTAATATTTATTTGAAAAAACATTATTATATATTTTATAAAAAAATTTTTGTTGATATCATTAATCAAAAAAAAAGTTTCAAATTATTACTTTCGATAACCCCATTGCGGAAACATTGGACTCATAATAGGCCAACTGATAAACTCCTGGGACGACATATAGGCCTTAATTGCGGGTAGATTCTCGAATCGGGTCAAGTATTCGATCAAAACGGGAAACTTGGCCATCGTTTCGGGACTAAACAACCGAAACCAATCCAGTAGTTCATAGGCCCAAAAGTCAACGTACGTCAACTGTTTGCCGGCCAACCAGTCGTGTTGTTGTTGTTGACCCAAAAATTTGGACAATTCGTCCAACTGTTTCGGTAGTTGATCGTCGATATAGGTCTGGCGGACGATGGCCGCTTCGGACGGGTCGACTAACATTTGCAAAAATGCCAAATAATAGTCGGCTAACTGATATTCGGCCATATCTTGTCGGGCCAGTTCACCGACTGTCTGGCCAACCAGTCCATGCTTACGGGCCAAATGTTTCAAAATTGCCATACTCTGTGTCAGCTTAATATGTTGTCCATCCAGATAATAGGGTAGATTAGGAAAGTCCAGTCCCATTGTATACTTTTCCTTCAACCAGTACTGCTTAATACTGTCCAAATGTTGGAAACCTTCTCCCGGACCGAACTCGTAGTCTATTTCCACGAAATCAACGCCCGTATACTTCAGCAACAATCGGATCGGTTGAGCCAAACCACGGATCTTATAGTAGCCGAGTATGGGTTTCGATGAAGACATTGTTTGGTTGGTTTGTTTGTATGTACGGGTGTTGTTGTGGTAGTAGTCGATGGATAACTGGATATGAATTATATTTGAAAATAAATTTTAAAAAAATGTTTGTTTGTTATATAAGTTTTATAAGTTTTGTAAATTTTTACTAATATTTTATATACTTTTTATATGCAGTGTATGAGAAACAGTAGGTTTTTTATATATAAGCCACTGTTGTTTTATCCCAACATTAAAACACTATATCTAATGATATCGACTCTTAATCTCATCTACCGGTGCGACCCTTCTCTCTCTCTCTCTCTCTCTCTCTCTCTCTCTCTCTCTCTCTCTCTCTCTCTCTCTCTCTCTCTCTCTCTCTCTTTTTCTCTCTCTCTCTCTCTCTCTCTCTCTCTCTCTCTCTCTCTCTCTCTCTCTCTCTCTCACTCTCTCTCTCTCTCTCTCTCTCTCTCTCTCTCTCTCTCTCTCTCTCTCTCTCTCTCTCTCTCTCTCTCTCTCTCTCTCTCTCTCTCTCTCTAAAATTATTATCAATATTATAATTTTTAAATCAATCTAATTTTTTTAGTACATTTATACAATTGAAGTTAAATATTATAAACAGTAGTCAATTATTATTAATAAAATTTTTTAATAATATAAAACATTACTTAAAAATAGTTATATTTTTATTAATATTTTTAATTATTAATATACCTAAAATTAATCAAGATCATTTATACAATAATTTTTAAAAAAATATATATAATGTTTTGTATTAAGTAAATAGGATTTATTGAATGTTTTAACAAAATAATTTTTTTTATCTAAACTAAATGTTTAATAGTTCATACAGTAATAATAAATTGTTATATATTGTACTGTAAATAAATTCAATGAATATTATTAGTATTATTTATTATTATTATTATTATTAAACTGATCTTGATTATTTAATATAATTAATAAAAAATTGCCTACTAAAGTAATATACAGTACATTTATATTATATTTATTGCTAGATTAAAAAAAACTGGTATCTAATGTACCCATAATATGTAATAAATAACCCTGCCTCTATTAATAATTAAATATACAAAATAAATAGTATAAAGTTTTAATTTTTTTAAAAAATAACATTTTTATTTAAATAAATAGAAAAATTTATAAATACTTATAATTGTCCAATAATTTAAATAAACCCAAATAAAATTATTTTCAAAAAATAAGTTTAATTAAAAAAACAAAAATAAATTATTTTTTTTAATAGTTATGTATACTTTTTTTTGATCAATATTTTTTGATTTCAATTAGTATTAGTCAACTAATATTATAATAAATTTATATTTATTATATTAAATAATTTCTAATTTCTACCATATTTATCAATAAAATATATTATTTTATTTAGATTATTTAAAAAAATAATAATATTTAATTATAATTTATAAGTATTAAAAATTTTTGTATATACTGTTATATATATATATAGTATTAATACTTATTAATGTAACGTTAAGTTTATTTTGATAAATAATTATAAAAAGTTTAAGTTTAGTAAAACATAAGTTTATTGCTAATAAACTCAATACAGATATTTGATAAGTATTTTTTTTATAAACGTTATATTAAAACTATTAGAGTAATCAAATCCTATGGAAATATTATATAATAATTGTACGGTAATCCTATCACAACAAATATGTTAATAATTTTTATTATTCAGCAAACTATTAATTCACATTAGGATTATTACTGTAATAATTAATAATTATAAAAAATACTGTATTATATATAATAATAATAAAATTTATATTAAAACTTTTACAGTTAGTATAATCAAATAGAAAATTGAACAATAATTGAAATAATCATTGACAATGATAGACAAATTGTTAAAAAATAATAGTAGATTTATAGATATTTCAACAACAAAAAAACATTATTATTATTATATTCAAAAAAAACTTGAAAAGTTTTGTTTTCTGAAATCTATACGAGCCTTTTTTGTGTGTGTGTGTGTGTGTGCGTGTGTAGCATTTCATTTTGCGAATTTTGAAATTCTGACTTCAGATTCGGTTAGAGGACTACTAATAATGTATTGAAAAGTTTAATTAAAATTTTGATATCTCTTCGGGAACATAGACAAAATGGCGGCCAAAGTAAAAAAAATTTTAAGAAAAATTTTTTTAAGTATAGATTTGAATAAAGCATCAAAAACAAGCATAAGAAATATACATTAAAATTTTGATATCTCTTCGGGAACATAAAGAAAATGGCGGCCAAAGTAAAAAAATTAGGTAAAAATTTTAACGTTTAAAATTGTAAAGAGTATCAAAAATATGATATAATATATAAGTATAATTTTTTTTAAATGGCGGCAAAAATATAAAAAATTTTAAGAATTTTTTTTAAATATAGATTTGAAGAAAGCATCAAAAACAAGGATAAAAAATATGCATTAAATTTTGATATCTACGGGAACAAAAAGAATAAGTATAAGCGGCAAAAGTATAATTATAGATTATTATTTTGTTATACTAAATCATTTGATACCCCACATGACTATAGTTGTTTATTTTGTCATACTGAATCATTTGATACAATACATGACAATATTTATATTATGTATATTTGACCAGTTTTTAAATTTTTATGTTATTATATAGCCGCTATAATTATAAAACTAATAGTTTTCAATGTTATTCAAGTTTTTTTTCTGAAAATGCTTTCTAGCATTCTTAACTGGTTTTTTATTGATATTATTATTCAAACAAATTCAAACATAAAGTTTTACTTTCCATTGGACTCATAAATTATTTATAAAATTTTTGTTGTTGTTATTGTAATGACTTTATAAATTATAAATTGTATGAAATATTTATAAATTTAAATGTTTAGTTTAAGTATCTAATAATAAATTATTATTATTATTATTATTATTATTATTATTATTAAATTAATATTAATATACAGTCACTGTGTGTTTAATTAACTACCTAATCAAAACTACCAGTGCTCTATTATCAACTAACCAATGTCATTTAAAACATAATACAATTTGAAAACTATTCAAATATTAAATACTTTTGATTTACAATATCTATAAAACTAATATAATTAATAATTTTTTTTATATATTTATCAAAATATATTATTTTATTTAAATTATTTATAAAAAAAATCAAATATTTATTGGTTTAAATTATAAGTGTATTAATATTTGATATATATTATATGTAAATATTAGTAATTATTAGGTACGTTATGGTTATTTTTGATAACTAATTTAAAGTCTATTATTATCTACTTTAGTAAGTTTAGTAAAAACATAATTTTATTGATAAATAAACTCAATACAGATATTTGATAAGTATTTTTTTATACGTTATATACAGTTATAAAACTATTAGAGTAATCAAATCCTATGGAAATATTATATTTTTTCGTTGAAATTTTTGTTATTTTTACATATAATATGAGTTCACAATTACAACAAATATGTTAATAATAATTTTTTATTAAGCAAACAGTATTAATTCCCATTAGGATTATATTATTAAAAAATATAAATATAATATTATATAAATATTATACAGTATTAATACTACAACAACAAAAAATTTATTGAAAACTTTTACAAACATTATTAATAAAATGATATTATAATCAATAGAAAATTACTGTAAAATATCAATTGAAATATTGAATCAAAATGATAGACAAATTGAAAAAAAATATTTATATTTATAAATATTTCAAAAAAAACAATTATTATATTTTAGAAAATATTTATATATATACATATATTTTTGTTGATATTTATAGATATTTCAAAAAAAACATTAAATTTTTTTTTAGAAAATATATTTTTTTTGTTGATATTATTATTCAAACAAATAGATAAACAAATTATATAATAAGTTTTACTTTCGATAACCCCATTGCGGAACCATTGGACTACAAATAGGCCAACTGATAAACTCGGGGGACGACATATAGGCCTTAATCGGCGGCAGATTCTCAAATCGGGTCAAATATTCGACCAGAACGGGAAACTTGGCCATCGTTTCGGGACTGAACAGCCGAAACCAATCCAGGCATTCGTAGGTAACAAAGTCAACGTACGTCAACTGTTTGCCGGCCAACCACTGGTTTGTACCCAAAAATTTGGACAATTCGTCCAACTGTTTCGGTAGTTGATCGGCAATATAGGTCTGACGGGCGGCCTCTAGTCCGGACGGGTCGAATAGCATACGAAAAAATGCTGTCATATAATCCGTTAGCTGATACTCGGCCATATCCTGTCGGGCCAGTTCACACTCTGTTTGGCCGACCAGTCCGTGCTTACGGGCCAAATACCTTACTATAGCCTTACTCTGAGTCAACTTAATATGTTGTCCGTCCAGATAATAGGGTAGATTAGGAAAGTCCAGTCCCATTGTATACTTTTCCTTCAACCAGTACTGCTTAATACTGTCCAAATGTTGGAAACCTTCTCCCGGACCGAACTCGTAGTCTTTTTCCTGGAAATCAACGCCCGTATACTTCAGCAACAATCGGATCGGTTGAGCCAAACCACGGATCTTATAGTAGCCGAGTATGGGTTTCGATGAAGACATTGTTTGGTTGTTGTCGTTGTTGTCGTCGATGGATAACTGGATAAATCAGATGAAAATGAAAATGTAGTTTAATTTTTTTTGGCTACAAATAACTTATTAATACTTTTCGTATAAAATATTTTTTAAAAAAAAGTTTTAAGTTTTATAAACTTTTTTTTTAAATATGATATGTAGTGTTGAGAAACTGTATGTTTTATATATACATCTACCGGTGCGCCCCTCCAGATATCTATCAAACTATAGTCAATATATTATAATTTTGACCCAATCCTAGTACATTTATACAATTGAAACTAGATATAATATACAATAATCAATTATTATTATTATTATTAAAATTTTTAAAAAATCATTAGTAATAGTTTTAATTTTTTGTTTTTTTATTTATTGATATTTTTTAATTAAATATATCTAAATTAATCAAGATAATTTTTTTAAAACATATATATAATATTTTGTATAGTTTAAATAGGATTTATTTGATGTTTTGAACAACAACAAAAAAATTTCTCAACTAAACGTTAATTTTACGTAATGTTATACATGTTGTACTGTATGTATATATATATATATATATGCAATGATTATTATTATTATTAAATTGACCTTGATTATATTTTTAATGTACTGTACATAAAAAAGTCAGTTAGAAAAATGCTACTACAACTACAATACAGTGTACATCTACATTAAACTTTATTTATTATGGGTAGGCCTATTATAGCCTAGCCTAGAAACTAGTATCTACTGTACCTTTGTACTATACTATTAAAAAAAATAACCCTGTATATTTAAACAAACAAACAAATATAATTTTAATTAATTAATTTCCTAATTATTTCCTAATAATAATTATAGCGGTAATTGTATTTTTAAATATTAATAAATATAAATAATAATTAAAAAAAAATACAATAATATTCAATATAATTGTCTAAATAATTTAAAACAAACAAATAAAAGCAAATTAAAAAAATTAAAATAATTAATATAATAATATAATAAAATATATAATTTTAATAAATAATAATTTTTTTTTTATAGTTATGGATACTTTTATTTTAATTTAATAATAAAATAATTAAACATATATATATATATATAAAAAATACAGTTATAATAATAATAGTTATAATTTAGTTACATTAGATTAATAGTTATGTTTGTTTTTTTACTTTTTATAACCCCACGGCGATATCGGGCCCGATACTGGCCAACTGATAAACTCGGACGACGACATGTAGGCCTTGATCGCCGGTAGACTCTCAAATCGGTTCAAATATTTGATCAAAACGGGAAACTTTTGAAAAGTTTCGGGACTAAACAGCCGAAACCAATCCAACAGTTCGTAGGCTAGAAAGTCAACGTATGTCAACTGTTTGCCGGCCAACCAGTCGTGTTGTTGACCCAAAAACGTCGACAACTCGTCCAACTGTTTGGACAGTTGATCGTTGGCATAGGTCTGACGGCTTTTATCGAAGTCATTGTTTCGCAAAGTTTGAATAAAACCGTTTCGTATGTCTGCCAACTGATACTCGGCCATATCCTGTCGGGCCAGTGCACACTCACTAGTGCCGATCAGTCCATGTTTGCGGGCCAAGTACCGTAAAATGGCCGTACTTTGCGTAAGTTTGATGTGGTGCTGGCCGTCCAGATAGTAGGGAACATTGGGAAAGTCCAGTCCCAACTGATACTTGTCCTTCAACCAGTTTACTCGCATAGACTCTATACTGTCAGCCGAACCAAACTCGTAGTATTTGTCGGTGAAGTCCACACCCGCGTACTTCAGCAACAATCGGATCGGTTGAGCCAATCCACGGACCTTATAGTAGCCGAGTGTCGGTTTCGATGAAGACATTGTTGTCGTTGTTGTTGTTGTCAATTGATAACTGAATAAATAATTTTTTAATTTAATTTAATTTTTAAACTATATATAAAACTTTGTTGTTTTTTTGTTGGTGTAATTTATATAATGTCTAGTAATAGGATTTAATGTGTATTTATACTATAATAAATTGTATTAACTGTTTCCTAGTCCTCCCAGTGCTCCCCAATTGAATTAATCAAACTAACCAATGTCATTCAAGTGCATTGTTGCAATTTATAAAACTAATATATTCATTAAATTAATGTTATTAATATATATTTAGTAAGTAATAGTCAGTAATAAAATATTTTTAATTAATACAAAAAATAGAAAACTCATTTTTAAAAAATAATAATTTTTTAATTTTAAATATTTTTTAGCACTATTTTTGCACTGAATAAATATTTAATAAAATAATTTATTTTATTGTTTTTTTTGTTTTGTATAAAAATATATGCATAATGTTTTTTTTGATAACTAATTAAACTATTAACTAATTAAAATTAATTAATTGAAATTAACTAATAAATAAATTCAATTTTAATGTACATTTATTTCAAACAGTAGTGTTTAGGAACTGGGGCATCTATTTATATATATACGATATATATATACAGTATATATATTGACTATAATATATCAAAAAAATAACCCTGGTTAAAAGTTCAAAAGGTTCAACAAAAAAAACATTTAGTTAGCAAAAAAAATATTGGTAATTAATTTTTTCAATAATAATAATAATGACAGTTATATATTTCAAAAATAATTATTACACTTACTTAGCATTTTTTTTGACAAATAAATAATTATTATATTTTATTTGTAAAACTAATCTAGTTTTTATTATACGGTAATAAACTACTAATAAATAAAAATAATTTCCATTAATTATTATGGATATTTGTAATTATAATAATAATAAATATATTTATTTTCTAAATTCAAAGTTAAAATAAAAATATTATAAAACAATGAAATAAAATAAAAATCATTATTATAGTTATAAAGACTTTATTTTTTTTATTTAAATTTATATTTAATAATTGAAAAACACATTAATAAAGTTTTACAACAATAAAAAAAATAGATATTATTATTATTATAATTATTTATTACATTCAATAATGCATTTACTTTTTATAACCCCACGGCGCTATCGGTCCCAATATTGGCCAACTGATAAACTCCTGGGACGACATATAGGCCTTAATCGCCGGTAGACTCTCAAATCTGGTCAAATATTGGATCAAAACCGGAAACTTTTGGACAGTTTCGGGACTAAACAGCCGAAACCAATCCAGTAGTTCGTAGGCCAAGAAGTCAACGTATGTCAACTGTTTGCCGGCCAACCAGTCGTTTGATCCCAAAAATTTCGACATCACTTCCAACTGTTTCGCCAGCGTATCGTTGGCATAGGTTTCACGATTTTTTTCGTAATTTTCTTTCGGAAATATACTCTGAAAAAATCCGGTCTTAATATCGGCCAACTGATACTCGGCCATATCCTGTCGGGCCAGTGCACACTCACTGGTGGCGACCAGTCCATGTTTGCGGGCCAAGTAGCGCAGAATGGCCGAACTCTGGGACAGTTTGATATGCTGGCCGTCCAGATAGTAGGGAACATTGGGAAAGTCCAGTCCCAACTGGTACTTGTCTTTCAGCCAATGTTCCCGCAGTGAGTCTATACTGTCGGCCGAACCAAACTCGTAGTATTTGTCGGTGAAGTCCACACCCGCGTACTTCAACAACAATCGGATCGGTTGAGCCAATCCACGGACCTTATAGTAGCCGAGTGTCGGTTTCGATGAAGACATTGTTTAGACTAATAATAAGTATAAAAATAATAATAATTTTTTTTTGATTTGAAATAAACTTTTTTTTGGTTCAATATTAGGATACTATTTGATGATATTTATATATACTTTTATTGATGTCTAATCATGTTTTAATAATAAAAAAAACTACTGTCCTACTGATTTAGGCGTTCCCAAACATGTAATTCACTACCAATGTTGAAGAAAAAAAAGGGAGGGTAGGTATGGATGGAAACACCGGTTGACTGATTATTAGTACATATTTTCATTTTTGCAGTTAATACTAGTTATATGATATTATTATTTAAAAAAAATAAAATAATATCTATCAATAATAATGCTGTATTAATATAATATTTAGATTTTTTAAAAATAAATAAATAATAATTTACTAACATAAATGTTAATTTAAAATAATAAAATAAATACTAGATTATAATAAATTTATATACTATATGTATTATATAACTTGGATTTATTTGATGTTTAAAAAAAATATTTCTAGACATTGTACAGGAATTTTTGTTCAATTTTTTTTTATTCATCATTGATAATGATTGTTATATGACCTTGATTATACATATATATATATATATATATTTTCATATACCAGTAAATAAAACTTGCATTGAAATACTCTCTCTCTCTCTCTCTCTCTCTCTCTCTCTCTCTCTCTCTCTCTCTCTCTCTCTCTCTCTCTCTCTCTCTCTCTCTCTCTCTCTCTCTCTCTCTCTCTCTCTCTCTCTCTCTCTCTCTCTCTCTCTCTCTCTCTCTCTCTCTCTCTCTCTCTCTCTCTCTCTCTCTCTCTCTCTTTCTCTTTCTCTTTCTCTTTCTCTCCCTCTCTATCTCTCTCTTTCATTGCACTGGTATTCAAGTTTAGATAATATTTATATATTTGTTGGTTAAGCCAATGAATTTAATAATAATAATAATATCATATTTATTGCATTATTAATATCATTAAAGCACTTGAATGACATTGTTTAGTGTATATACTAATACTGTATTTTTTTTAATAAACGTTATGATTATTATGATATGATATAATTTTTTTTTATTACTTATTGTTGAAGTGCTATACTTATAACTAAACTTTATTACTACTCTATCAAAAAAAAAATGTTATGTAATGTCTAATCTGAAAATCTTTAAGTTTAGTATTTTTATATTATCATTAACAAAAAAATTAGGGAAAAAAATGTCTCAATTATTAATTGTCTAAATAAACGATTCAATGAACTGAATGTACCTAATATTTGATTGATTGAAATTACGGTATAATATTCATTACCGTATTTTAATTATATATATATATATATATATAACAAAACTTTATAAGTAACAAAACTCAAAGTTATAAAATTTATAAATAAAGTTAAAATGTTTTTTTTTTTGTTGAATGATAACATTTGAGACATAATTAAATAGTGATAATAATTTTTTTTTTCATAAATAATATTAGTTGAAAATATTATATTAATTATTCATATTTATTGAAAATAATTAATTAAAAGCTAATCAAACATAATTCAAGGCTAGCCATAAAATAGATACCAATAATGTATATAATAATAATAATTTCAATAATAATTGTATTGTAATTATTATTTTTATAATAATAATAATTATAATAATAATAGACTTATAAAATATTATAAAACAAAAAAAATTTATTTGAAATTATTATATTTAGATAGTTATAAACACTTTTTTATTTTATTATTTAATAATAATAAAAATAATAATTAATAAAAAAAACAAAGTTTTACAATAATAATAATAATTTTTATTATTTATTATCATTTATTATACTTATTTTTTTTAAAAAAATAAATAAATTGTTTTACTTTTTATAACCCCACGGCGTTAAGGGGCCAAACAATGGCCAACTGATATAGTCGGGCGACGACATGTAGGCCTTGATCGCCGGTAGATTCTCAAATCGGGTCAAATATTGGACCAAAACCGGAAACTTGTGGACAGTTTCGGTACTAAACAGCCGTAACCAATCCAACAGTTCGTAGGCCAGAAAGTCAACGTACGTCAACTGTTTGCCGGCCAACCAGTCGTGTTGACCCAAAAATTTTGATAACTCTTCCAACTGTTTGGACAGTTGATCGTTGGCATAGCTCTGACGGCTGTTCTCGAAGTCTTTGTTGTTGAACAGACTCTGAAAGAAACCGTTTTTAATATCTGCCAACTGATACTCGGCCATATCCTGTCGTGTCAGTGCACACTCACTAGTGGCGACCAGTCCATGCTTGCGGGCCAAGTACCGTAAAATGGCCGTACTTTGCGTAAGTTTGATGTTGTGCTGGCCGTCCAGATAGTAGGGAACATTGGGAAAGTCCAGTCCCAGCCGGTACTTGTCCTTCAGCCAGTGTTCCCGCATAGACTCTACGCTATCAGTCGATCCAAACTCGTAGTATTTGTCGGTAAAGTCGACCGACGAGTACTTCAGCAACAATCGGATCGGTTGAGCCAATCCACGGATCTTATAGTAACCGAGAGTCGGTTTCGGTGAAGACATTGTTGGTATTATTATTATTATTATTGTAAATGATATGAAAAAAATTGTTTTAATATATATATTTAGATATTTATATATGTTTTTATATGTAAGTGTTATAAAAAAAACTATATGTATGTTTAGGCGTGTACTACAGGTGCTTATGATGATAAAGTACATTTAGATGGAGGGAGGGAGGGGTAACACCGGTTTTATATATATACAGCACTTATACTGTAGATTATAAGTGCATTTAGTTTGTGTGCAGTTAAAACTAAATATATAACATTTAATTTTTTTTCTAATAATTTTAAATCTCAATTATTAATGTAATATTATTTTGTATCAAAAACTAATAGTAGAATAATATCAAAATAAAATTTTAAAATAATAATTTATACTTAGATTTTTAAATTAAATATTAATTTTGATTGCCACAATATTTTGTTTAAAAATAAAATATTAGTTAAATATATATATATATATATATTTATTTATGTTTACTATAACTTGAATTTATTTGATTTTATATAAACAGCATTATACTGTAAATTTTAACCTTGCTTATATCTATTGAATATACAGTAGTAAATAAATTTGCATTGAACTATCCGGCACCGGTAGCCTATTATTGCACTGGTATTTAAAAATGACATTGGTTAGTCTGGGATATATATAGTTTACTATTAATAACTAAACACACAGTTATAAAAAAAACTATTAATTAAATGTTATATAATGTTTATTAAATCAATTAAATAGATTAGTTTATATCATTAATTAAATAAAATATCTAAAAAATAATTTTTTGTTTTGTCACCAGGGATAAATTGAATGTATACTAAATATTTTGGTGTAAATTTACGGAAAATTTACATCAATTTAGTTAATAATAAATGTTAATGACATTTGTAAATTAATTTTTAAAAAAAACATTTAAAAACTTATATATTTATCAAAATTTTTTTTTATTTATTCACATTTAGTTAGTTATTTGAAGAGAGTAGTGATAAACAAAAATTACTTTTAATTTTAAAAATAATTATATTAATTAATAAGTTTGAAATACAAAATATTTATTTATTAAAAAAAATTAAAATATTTAATTTGCGCACAAATTTATTATTATTATAAAAAATATATAAATAAACAGGGTATATTATTGTTTATGTAATACAATTTTGATTATAAATAATAATAATACTAATTGTTAAAAAAAAATAGTTAAAAAAACTTATAATAATTAAAATCAAAAATATTTATGAAAAAAATAATTAAAAAAAACCAACCAATCAATCAGTCAAAACATACGGCCAATTCAATGACCGCCCCATTTGGCCTGCGGTCCAAACAGTGGCCAACTTTTGTAATCCGGTGAACTTCGGTGGGCTTTAATTGCGTCCAACGATTCAAAACGTTTCATATAATCCCGAAGTTTCGGATACTTATCATCAATAGTGGCGGCGGCGTCGGCACCTGTATATAGACGTAACCAATCTAAGGTTTCGTAGGCTATAAAATCTACATAAGCTATCCGGGGACCGGTTAGCCACTGATTATCGGCCAAATAGTCTGATAGTTGGCTAAGTTTTGGCTCCAGATGGTCGGCCGTATAGCTGTCACGTACGGCCAGTGGATCGTCGGCCATAACAACCGTCCCGAAGAAATCCGTTCGCAAATCTTCGAGCTGATGTTCGACCAGTTCCTGTTGAGCCCGTAGCGGGTCATCAGTGGCCACCAGATCGTACTTGCGGGCCAAGTATTTCAATATAGCCCAACTTTGGCTCAGTTTGACCTCACCGTCCAGCCAATAGGGCAGATTAGGAAAGTCCAGACCCAGCCGATGCTTGTCCTCATCTTTCCAAACATGACTGTCCTTAAACTGATAGCGTTTGTCGGTAAACTCCACGCCCGCGTAGCGTAGCAGATAGCGTATGGGTTCGGCCAGACCACGTATGTCCCAATAGCCGAGCACTGGTAGTTTATCACTTGACATTATGCCTGTATATTATGCTAAATAATGATGTTATATACTGTATATATATATTAATATATATGATATATAAAAAAAAATATTTTTATCAAAAAAGTTTTTTTTAATTATAGTTTTATGTTATATATATGATATATATTTCAATTATAGTTAAACACAATTTTTTATTTAAAAAAACAATAGTTTAGTTAAATTTTTATATTGAATATATATATATTGATGTGGAACTGGTTATTAAATATGTCTGTGTATAATACAGCATCTGTATCTACTGTATGAGTGAGCTTTTTGGCTAACAGTGCCAGATATTGACGAAAACTGGTAGCTCCTGCACACACCCTTTCCTTTTATGAAACTTATGCAACATTTTTTATTTGCTAAAAATTATATTATATTTATAGTATAATCTATGTTAATATATRTATATATATTTTTAAAATATTTTGCTAAAAATAATTAACATTGAATTTATTTTATATATATRTATAAAATAATTTACAATCAATAATAATATTTTTAAAATTAATTTTCTAATAATTTTTTAATATAATAATAATACAAAAAAAACTTGATTTCCTAATTACTGACACACTTATTATGGGAAACAATAATTTTTTTATATTATTATAATACAATAAAAAGTTTATTTTTTTAATATACAGTATATTTATTAATAGTTAATTATTTTATTTGTCAATGAAATTAAAATCAATATCTTATTATTATTATTATTAGTATTATTATTATGACACATTATATTGAATACAGGAAAAAAACTATAATTATTATTATTTAGTAAAAATATTAATATATATAATAGTCTATAATATGACTGTTATTGTAATTAACAATAAACTACCATGTATGGTTTTTTAATAAAAAAAATAAAGTTTTAAATGCTACTTTATTTTTWWAAAAAAATATTTTTAATGGTATTATATTATTTTATCAATATAAATTATATTATATAATTTTTTTTAAAAAATAAATAAAAACACAAACATATACACAATTTTTATTTAATTACTGTTATATAATATTTAAATTATTAATATCTTATAAATTAATAATTTTAATCATTTAAACAGTTTTTTAATTCAAAAACTGTTTAAATAAAACTAAACTTTTATTTATATAACAATTCACTAAACAAACAAAATATAGATTTTAATTAATTAATTAAATTTTTAATAAATGAAAAAACATTACATATTTTTTTCAAAATTATTTATTTTCAGTTTAATTAGTTTTATTATTATTATTACGTTTTTTGGGGGGGGGGAGGGGGATGGGTCAATTAGGCCACCTTTTGCAGTTGCTGTATATCTTGAGCCAATTTAGTGGACATTGCTATGGCTTTTTCGCATCCCTGTGCCACAGATACCTGGCCGGACTTGACCTGTGCCATTAGGGACTCTTTTTGTTTGGTAAAACTGTTCAAATCCGACTGTACCTTATCGAGGGCCTGTTTTTGCGGTGCGGTCAACTTGTCCTTATGGGCGGCCGAAAATGCCGAAAGGGCCGGTTTGACGGCATTGATGCTGCCTATCAATTGTTTGGCTTTGGCCTCAAACTGTTCCTTAGTTTTGCAATCGGCAGCTGAGTACGGACCTGTTAGTAGAGGACGGGTAGTTAGGATGGATGGATAGGTGGATGGATAGGTGGGGTGGAACGGGTAGAGTTTTATATTAATTTATTATTATTTAATATTTATTATTTGTTTATTTTATTGATTAATGATATTCAAGATAAAAAAAAATTCTAATAATATATATATATATATATATTAATTTAATAAAATAATAGACATTTTTAAATAGTTAAATATATATATATTTATAATAGTTATGTATATAAATATATATAAAATAGTTATATATATATATAAAGAGAGAGAGAGAGAGAGAGAGAGAGAGAGAGAGAGCTAAATTAAAATGTGATATTTATAATATTATTAAAATGATTATAATTTATATTTATATTTTTATAATTTATAAATATAATATATAATTAATAAATAATGAATATTTTTTTAAAAAAATAATTATTTTACAATAACTTACATATAACGTTGTTAATTAATATAACTAGCAAACATGTAACTAGAATAAATTTCATTTTATATAAAAGTTATTTAAACTGTAAATATTTGTTATTTTTTGATAAAAAAAATTATTATAATATTATTATAATAGTTAAAAATATTTTTGTTTTATATATATATTATTTTTTGTTTGATTCTAATCAAAATCTAAAAAACTTCTAACAAAATTAATAAAAAAAATTAGCTTAAAATACTAAAAATAAGAGAAAAAAATCAATTATCAAATATCTATTAAATTAATTAATTTTTAACTATTTATTTAGTTTGTTTGATCACCCGATTGGTTAATATATTGTCTCAATAAAAGTTTAGCAACAAATCAATTGTTATAAATATATATATAAATATGATATAATTGTTTTAATTGTATAAATTGCATAACCCTATGCTATATACTAATGATTGTAATTAATTTATATAATAATAATTAACTAAAATTTCGCAATATCCTTTAAARTAATGTAYTATAWTATTARCATTATTGTTKTGTGTGTGTGTGTGTGTGTGTGCATGTGTGTGTGTGTGTGTGTGTGTGTGTGTGTGTGTGTGTGTGTGTGGATACAATATAATAACTTGTAGGTTAATTATTTAATTAAGGTTTTTTTTAAATAAAATATTAAAGTATAAATGACATTAACTATTTATTTATTTATTTTTTGTTATAAATTTAAAGTCAACAAATCTATACAATAAAAAATTAATATTGAATATAAAAATTATTATTATTTTTAATAATTAATGTAATTTAAATTAGTTAAATTAGTTAAATATTTTTGTTGTTGTTTGTTTGAATATTATAATCATGCATTTTTGATTTAAATTAATTATAAATTATTATTATAATTATATTATTAATTTGATGATACATATTTTTAACAAAAAAAAAATAATAATTATAATAATATATAACAATTAAAAATATCATATAATCAGATTTTTTTTTAAATTAATTAATTAAAAATAAATTTACAAACTTACAAATATTAAATGTTTGTAATTAAAAAATCTAAAAAATTATTTAATTATTTAATAATTTTTTTTAAAATTATATTTTATTTTTTTTAAATAAAAAAACAAGTTAGCTAGATACTATTTCGTTGATCCGGTTTCAATACCTGTCTATATTGTTCAACCAGTCTATTGAGTCTATCGTAAAACTGTTGACACCGTAACCAAAATCTATCTACCGTTCCGCTAACATACCGGTCGTTTGTATAGCGATAGCCAGCAAAATCTTGGTCAGTCAGCCTTAAATCCCTGTCCATATCCAACGCAGTCTTAAGCAAATTGTTGACCACTAGTTTGCGCGACTCATCCCTATCCGTTGACAGACGACTGACCAATTGTCGACATCGGCTGCGCAGACCTTTCAGATAGTTATTGACATTTTCGGGTGTTTTTTGTTTTGGTTGACCACCAGTTCCTCCTATACAACAACAACCATTGTATTAAATTAAATTAAATTATTTATTATATTATAGTTAATAATTAAAATCATAAAAAATTTATTATTATATACCATATATAATATAGTAATATAATAATAAAAAAATTGTAAAAATATAAATTAATAACTAATTAACTGATACTATTATTATCTTATTTAATATTTATTTATTTTTTTGATATATATAATTTATATTAAAAAATAAAATTTATAATTTATACCGGCAACATTTGTCATAACAGTTGTAATGTATAATTCATAAAAAATAAATGATAGCAAACATGTGGTCAAAATATAGGCTATAATTTTATTTTTCATTTTATTTAAATTAAATTTTTTTTTAAATTATAAAGTAAATATATTTATTTTATAGTATGATGAATTAAATTTTATATATATATATATATATATATATAAATATACCATTTTTAACATTAGATAAACATTTTATTATGTGAAAAAAAACATGCAATCATGCAATCAGACTATTAATATATAAATATTTTACTATTAGTTTAATTTACTAATAGTTATTGATATTATTTGATTAGCTGGTTAATTATTTTTTTATTCAATGCA